AGAAACCCTTTAATAAAGCAATAAGGGAGTGGGAGGTATGTTAGTTGGTTAAGGAGATGTCGCATTCAAAGAAAATCCATCATGGTCCATTCATTTCTTTGTCTGCCATGAGGAAGAAGATGTGTAGATGCCCTTACTAGACTAAGGCGGCTCCCCAGGAAATAACAAGCAAACAGACTCCCCATGCAAGATTAAAGTAACAAACGACAGAAACTGTTTTGGTTCATGTACTTTAGAAAGTCTTAGAAGACAGGGCTGATGTCATTTCTCATAGCTCCCTTCTAAAATAAAAATAAAAAATAGAAATGTTTACCACCCACATTCACTAGACAAGCCCCATTTAACAATCTGTTCTCTTTGATGTCACTGTGATATCACTGTGATATTTACCATGATGATGGCTGGAAACAGTCATATACCATGAACTACCTTTTCAAAGGTCAAAACTGTCTCCAGAACAAGTTGGTACAGATCAGTTCCTGAACCAGTCCCCACCCCCACCCCGCCACAGTTGTCACTTGCCATGCGACAAATATATGCCAACAATTCATATTGCTGGATAAAGGCATTTATTTCCTTGAAACACCAATGTGACACGGGATTGCTGCCTTGTTCACAAAGTGGAGGAAAGCATGCGTTCTACCCTTAAACAGGCTAGCAATCACAGTTTTTTGTTTTCTGCAAAATGATGGCATTTCCAGTTTTTTGAAAATAGTATATTTAACTCCCACCTTTCCTCCATCATGAATCTCAAAGTTACATATATATGGTTTTCCCCAGTGGCTTCCCATCCAGGCACTGAGTCAAGGCAGACTGGCTTATGTCAGCAAGGTGGCTGCATCATGTGCCCTTACTCCATGTCTAGGGACAGTTGACAGTTCTAACTACCATATTTTTCGCCCTATAGGACGCACTTTTTCCCCTCCAAAAATGAAGGGGAAATGTGTGTGCGTCCTATGGGGCGAATGCAAGCTTCAGGAAGCTATCCGCAAGCCTTGGGAGCCCGGCGGGAGTTCCCGCCAGGCTCCCAAGGCTTGCGGACAGCAGCCTGCAGCCCAAAATCCATGGAGCGCAGCGGAGCGCGCCCCGGGCTTTGGGCAGATATCCGCAAGCCTGGGGAGCCCGGCGGGAGTTCCCGCTGGGCTCCCAAGGCTTGCCAATAGCAGCCTGTTCTGGGGGCTGGGGTCGGGGGAAGCTCGGCCTTCCCCCGCCCCAGCCCCGTGCCTGGGGGGGATAATGTTTTTTTCTTTATTCCCCCCCCCACACCCAAAAAAAACCCCCTAGGTGCGCCCTATGGGCCCTATAATACTAACTACTTTCTAAGTACAAGTATATTATAAATTTTGGAGTTAGCCTAGTCAACAGGACAAAATCCTAGAGTGAATACAAGCTATAAGCTCTTGTCTGTGATAATGGAAGCTGTGTGAGAACAGTATTAAGTGGTTCGTGGCTAAGGATAGCATGGGTCTTAATTGGTGAAGGTAAATCAGCACTGAGAGCAGATGCAATAGAAATATTTAACAAACATGATTTAATTATCATCATGCTAGGTTTAGCACCCTGACAAGGTTTGCATGGTTATTTCAAGCTCTTTTAATGGCTGTGCATGGAAGCATGTGTTTTTAAGGCCCAGTTCCAGAAGGTGGGCATCTTACCATATTAAAAACAAAACAAAAAAAATGAACAATTTTGTTCATTTGAAGTTAAAAATTATATTGTGGTACAAGCTTTCATTGGTGGTATTATTAGCATCAGTATCAATAATAAAATTTCATTATTGTTGTTATATTCTACTTTTCTATTAGAATAGTTAAGGCAGCTCACATCCATATCCTTGCTGCAGTTAATTTCATTGGACCTATTATGTCTCAAAAACATTATTAGAAAAGGGAAATTCCATTTCCTTTTTAGCATATGCTGCGATTGCTCACTCTTTACCCTTCATTTCCCTGCAGGACAACAATGAGTAAAGCCAGTACCCAGAAGAGGACTGTGGTTAAGGACCAGTATGGAAACCGTATTCATGTGGAACTGCTGGAGGACACACCAGAAGCACTACCCCGGGATGACCTTCAGCATGACCTCCAGCAACTACTGAGACATTTCTGCAAAGATGAGTGGAAGAAAGAGGCCAAATGAGATGCTGCTAAAATCTCACCCACAGACCAACACACATATCCATTCAATATCCAGAATTCACTTTCTTCTTTTGCTGTAGATGACAACATAATCACTAGAGGACACTAACATTTCGACTTTGCATATAGTGTAGGGTTGTTTTTCTTTTCTTTTCTTTTTTCTTTTCAAATATCTGTAAGCTAATTTGTGACCAAAGATAGCATCCTTCATTTGGGATGGTTTGTCTACTAAAAGTCATTGACTTTGTGCTATACTGGAAACTTGTCAAGATTGCCATCTTTGTTGTTCCTTTGCTTCTGCATCCAATCCATACAAACATAGCTTCTTCCACAGGCCTCTTCAAATCACAATGTATGTACATTTTTTAAAAAAGGGATGCTAACATTAACCTGTAAATAGCTAAAGTGCTTGGACTCACAAGACTGAAAGAAAGAAACACTGCCTTTCGTGACTACTTTTAGGATCGAGAACTACACGGTCTGTTGAAACTGTTGAAGAGCGATTAATTACTCTTCCGTTGAATATACAACATGGATCTACTGAGAAGAAAGCATGTCAGCCTCCCATGTTTATAGGACTTCCAGTTTGTTGATCTCCTTGACTTGAAAGTTTCTGAGAGTCAGGCTGAAACCTCAAACTCCAGCTGTTGCCAGCTGAATGCAGCCACCCCTGCTTTATGACTCCTGGGAAGCCACCTAAAGAATTCCTGAAGAAATAAATACCCAGTTAGGTATAACTTGCTAGCAGCTATATCTGTGGCACATTTGCATACTGTATTCAAATCTTTTAGACTGGAACAAGAGGCAAGGTGCATTACAAACAAACAAAAAAGCTCTAACTCCTGTAATTTCCTGTTTTCATCACTGCTTTAGCAAACCACGCTGTCTTATTGGTGGTTATTCCTGCTGGCCACTGCACTGTAGATAACTTGATAAGGGAAAAGAAACCCTTTCCCACTCTTAAGAAAGGTTACTCTAAATTTATCACATTCTATCAAGACTGTCTCTTAACCTGGTTTATGCATGTGGCATTGGGAAACACAATCTCAACCCTCTTGTAACCATGTCAACAGATTATCTCTCTCAGCACTGAGCGAGCGGAGCTTAACCTTCCATTTGAAATTGTTCTTCAGAGATTTGCTTATGGAGGGATATGAATCCATTGGGCATTTGTTTTTTTGTCGTCGTTTTATTTATATTCCTTAACCAACTTTCAGGAATCATCATGTAAATGTCTGCACTTTGATTTTTCCAAGAAGGGCATATGCGACTCTGGAATTATTCTGTGGTCTGTACCTAATTCTAATAGTGGTCTGGAGCTCTGTTGCATTTTAACATATATATGTAATTATATATATTATATATATACATATAAAATGATATACATTTTGAATCAGTTATTTGATAAAGACAAAGTATATTCAACAAGGATGAGTCAAGTCCTCCAGGGTTGATATTTTTCAAAACCTAGCCAGATTTTCCTTCTTGTAAAAAATAATAATAATAATTGACTCAGTGCTCAGAATACCGAAAATAAATGTTACAAATGGCACCTCTTCATTTAACTAACCATGTGGAGAGAAAGGAAACGTTTTAGGGTGTTTGGTCACCTGCTAAGAAAGCTACCCAAAGTGCCATTCTAACATTTTTCTTTTTGGTTGGCAAGCACTTGTGACTGCCAAAATGGAAGGAGACCCATTTCAGGACACACAATAGCTCATTTCTCATTGTCAAGAACATCACTGGTTGACCTTCAAGACTGGGGCTCTAAAAGAAACGCATTTCTGTTGTGTACTTTGCGGTGCAGATGATGTTCTGTGTAACAGCATAATGGCTATCCTCCTTTATCGGTTTTGATTTTTTGCTGTGTTATCAGAGAACTTGAATACTGTGAGAAGAAGTGATTTTAAGTTGATGAGTCAGCATCTTGTTCCCATGGTGATAACACTAACTGAATATATCTATGAGGGCATGTATTAGTTAAAAAGATTTTAAAAAAGACAAAACAAAACAACAACACTAACAATACATAGCTGCAACGTGTACAATGGCTGATTTAATTAAATAAAAATGTACAAGTGTTAAATGTAGCACTAATTGTATGCCTTTTTTTGGTACAAGTTTAAAAGGGCTGATTTATGTTCAAAATGGCAAACTTAGCAACCTCTACATATTATTATTATTACTACTACTACTACTACTATCATTATTACCTCTGCATAACCAAGAATCAAATTTGGTTATTTAATTTAAAGTATGGGAAACAAAAGACACTGTTTATTGTTTTCCGTTCATAAAAGAATGGATCTTGATCTTGTCTTATTGGTAGCAACTTCAGTGCATTACTTACTAGGCATGGTGGTTATATTCCAGAAATGATGTCCTGTGTGTGTTTTGTTTTGTTGTTTGCCAGTTGTTCTGACATAGATAATCCATAGAGTTGGAAGGGACCCTGAGGACCATCTAGTCCAACCCTCTTGCAATGCAGGAATAAGAAAGTGTCCCATACGGGGATCAAACCTGCAACCTTGGCATTATCAGCATCACACTCTAACCAACTGAGCTATCCAGATGGTAACTCTTTTATGAAGATGGTAACATCAACTTGACGGGTAAACTGCAAACATTCCCTCCTATGCATGAATCCCAATAGGAAACCCACAGAATGTGCATGATCCCACAGGCAAATGTTTCCTCTTTTCCATGATTTTGGGGGCTTATACTAAAATACTTTAGAAGCATTGACATTAGAATCACAGTTGAACTGTTCTCCATGAAAAGGTATTATGTGTGGGAAAACTCCCGCATAGTTACAGAAGCATAACCAACTTTTTTTCCTTTTTTTTTGGTTTTTTTTTTGAGAGAGGATCAGGTGCTCTGATGCTTTTGAAAGACAGGGAAGCGGGACAAATATCAAAAGATCTATCCCAGAATATATGTAGTGGTTGGCAAGAATACCTGTTTGCAATCACCAGTGGGAGTCAACATGTGCAGGGGCACTTAGATAGAATCCTTGTCCCAAGACACTAGAAAGAGAGAGAGGTCATCGCTCAGTGGCATATGCTTTGAATATACTACTCAAGATATTCCATCTCCAGTTAAAAGGTGTGGGAGAGGCCTGAGATTTTGGAGAACCAAATCAGAGGACAAAAAATACTGGACTAGTGTCATCCTTTATAGAAGGCGGTTTCATATGTTCATTTGTCATTTTCCTGCAGCCAAACAAACATTTGTGCCACATCTGATTAATGATAATATCATTGTTCTGAGCTATATACCGTATTTTTCGCTCTATAAGATGTGCTTTTCCCCTCCTAAAAAGTAAGGGGAGATGTGTGTGCGTCTTACGGACCGAATGCAGGAGGGAGGCTCTGCTCAGCACTCCCTTTAAGGAGCCGTGTGGAGAAGGGCTCCCTCCCCGAGGAGGGAAAAGCCCCGAAGAGCCGCACACACACTCCGCGCGCTCTTTAAAGGGAGCGCAGCTCTTGGGGGAGCCTTAGCCGTGCGCAGTGTTGCTTTCTTATTTCTTGTTTTCCTCCCCTAAAAACTAGGTGCGTCTTATGGTCCGGTGCGTCTAATAGTCATTAATAACATGGGGAAAGATGTTAATAAAAGCACGGCCAGTCCTGTAGATACATATTTTACAAATAGACTGACAAATTAATCTCATGCTACAAGAGATAAGAAGCAATAAAATAGCAAACAAAGTGTGGTGCTCATGTTGGTAATTGAAAGGGAGAGGGGGGGGAATTAACTTCTCTGTTGCTGGATTAGTTGCAACTCCCCTCAGGCACAAGAGATGAGTCATGGTAGGTGACCCGTTGAAAACATCTGCTTCAGCAGAATGTGAACCATGAAGAATGGAACAAATGGACACCACATCTTCTGCGTAAATCAACTGTGATAAATACTATGTGCAGATTTTTTAGTCATCTCCTCTTTAAAAAGGATGACAAGCCACGCAGGCAAAGGAGCAACTAGCAGAATAGTTTAAGTCTGCTGATTCATCCTTAGATGTTAGGTGATTGACAGGTAGGTGTCCACAAACTGCTGTCAAAATGGTCCACGGGGTGTGTGTGTGTGTGTGTGTGTGTGCAAGTGGTCTGTGAGGGAGGGTGAAGTGGACAGGGCAGCATGTTCCTACACTCAGTATAGGCCAGGAAAAGGAGTGAACCAACCACCTCAAGTGGCATAAACTCCCAAAGCAGAGAAGTGGCACCAATTTCCAGCAAGATCTTGCTGAACTTTCACATGATCTCACAGACTGCAACAGATTTCATGAGTAGCTCCTAGCCGCATACAGGCATACAGCAACTTTTGCTATCCCACTAACTATGAATTGCTAAGTTAGTTGTCATTTCAAAAATCTATCATTCCCCCCCCCCCAATGGGATTGAAAACAGCCACAACAGCTCTGGGACTGAGATAATTATTCTACTTGTGTCTGTCTGTATATGCATCAGAGGAGCAAGCAAACTTGGGATGCTACAGATCCAAGGCTGCCCTCAGCCCAGCGCATGCCATTTCCTACAGCTGTGGATTAATACCACAGAGCTCTCTGCCACTGCAACAAGGAAACCTCTGGAGGCAGACCCCTTCTCTGCCTAAAAGCATCACTCATCACTCAGCTGTTCTAAGAACTTGAGAGAGAAAATATCCCACATTCCTGCAGATGTCAACTCCTCACAACCAAAGACATCCTCAGTGTTCTTCTATCTCTTATAAATATTTTAGTCTTTAAAATATTACGTCATTTAATATTTGGTAGAGTGCAGCATACAGCTGCATCAGAACTACCCATGACCCTTGTTTATATTGCTCTGTTGGACACAATATGTTGAGAGTTGAGCAATTGCGGACATGGTGAAAAAGCCTCACCCTTTCCAAAATGGTGGAAATGGAGCCTTTTGCCAGTACCTGACACTGCAGGTTTCTGGGGGAAAGCATGAATGAAAAGAGCAGGCTTCAGACTGGGAGGCCACCCAAAAACACAAACAGTACAGTGGTACCTCGGGTTAAGAACTTAATTCATTCCGGAGGTCTGAAGCACCACTTTAGCTAATGGGGCCTGCCACACTGCCACTGCACAATTTCTGTTTTCATCCTGAAGCAAAGTTCTTAACCCGAGGTATTATTTCTGGGTTAGCGGAGTCTATAACCTGAAGCGTATGTAACCCAAGGTACCACTGTAATGGGATATACCAAGAGCAGAATAAAATGCAGGAAGAAGTGACAGTTCCTCAGCAAGCTCAAGGAAGGGGTTGAAGTAATAAAGTTCTGAGCCAAATGCCAATAGCGGAGATGACCTTGGGCATTCCGGTTTGATGAATGACAGCTGCACAGGCAAACCCAGAACATCAGCTTGAAATATGCCTTATCATTCATTGCAAACAGAATTAAGACTTTCCAGATAAGAAAGGGATAGGGGGTCCTTTGGCTACGCTGGCTGGGGGTGATGGGAGCTGACATCCAACAAGGAGCATGGTGCTGACAATGCCCAAGGTTGCAGGTTCGATCCCCGTATGGGATGGCTGCATATTCCTGCATTGCAGGGGGTTAGACTAGATGATCCTCAGGGTCTCTTCCAACTCTACAATTCTATGATATGGAGGGCCACAGGTTTCCCACCCTGGAGTAAAGTTACTCGACTATTAAGAACAAGTTTGATGAACGGTGGCGATTCAAATGATGTGTCTATATCTTGCTAACTTCACCAGCATCGTTACCAGAAAACACAAAGTGCAGCACTATAGGAATGAGCGAGGTAGACTGCTACAATTACAAATGACATTTACCTAGCAGAAAGAGGCTAGCAGCGGTGTATTTGTCACCAGAAAGCAATCAGCTCCAAATCACTGCAAATAAATCAGCTCACTGTGAATAAACAGCCATTGGACAGGTTTCAGAAGTGAGACACATCATTCTCTCACTGCCAATGGAATTATCACGTTCAGACCCAGCTTGCACTCTAGAAGATCAACACTGCCTGAAGGAACTACTTTGCTATGTGCCAAAGGTTCGCATATGAACCATTCTGTTTTATTTCAGCTTATTTAAACAGCCCCCATCAATGTTTCACAGAATATTAAAGAGTGCCTCTCGGTCAGAATTTTGCGAGTGATCCTGTAGCTTAAACCTTTTTAGGGAGAGAGAACAGGCTGACCTTTTTGCACTGTTCCAAATAGGTATGTGCAATTTACCCCATTTCTGTGATCTTGGGGCAGGAGAATGGTGTCTGGAAATGGCAAACACATGGCTCACACATAATGTCTTTGGCATGACAGTCTGCAAGATTGCATTCATCCAGTTCTTGGAAGCGCATGAAAGTAGTATTACAAAGCAAAAGTGAGGTGAAAATGGGATTGCTTTCCTATAACAGCTGTTAAAAGTCAGGATATTGGAGGAATCTACTACTTATAGATGAGATTCAGCTCAGCTCTTGGGCAGTCTGTATATTAGGGGAAAGTGTGCCTACATTTGTGAAAATAACATAAAAATGTGTATTGGGGAAAATTGATAAAAAAAAGTGTACATTAGCCAAAACTGCATACAAATACTCACATGATATATAATCTCTTGCATTTTAAAACAAAAGGCCCACATTGAAGAAAATTAGCATGTCAGGGTTCTCGTTCTGTCTTCTTGATACACATTCACAGCAATATATATAATTAATCATATTTCTAACCCACCTTTCTTCCAAGGAGCTCAAGGTGATACACACACACCCATTTTATCCTAACAACAACCCTGTGAGGTTGTTCCGTTAGGCTGAGAGACTCCTATTGGGCCAAGGTCACCTGGCAAGTTTCATGGATTTGAACCCTGGTCTCCCAAGTCCTAGTCCGATATTCTAACCACTACACCACACCACACGGGCTCTCACTGGTGTAACTCCTCACCTGAAGCATAAAAAGCTCAGGAAATTATTGTCTGACCAAATGCTTTGACTCACAGAATGACCTTCAGAATCGGAACGACTTTCAGACTCACAATCTGAAAGCTACAGAACCTGTAATATCAGATGCATTTGGATCTAACCCATCTCTTTCCATGAATGCTAGCTATTGACTTATCAAGGTTGCTAACAGGTCCTTGAGAAGGCAGGTGGCACTGCAAGGCGGCGCATGCTGCCTTTCCAAAATGCTTGATTTTTCTCTGCAGCGATCTCAGATTACAAAGCAGGTTCCCGAGTGGAATCTCCATGGCAAGCCAGTGGCTCTCATTATTGGCTTGCTTTAAATATACCCTTTGGCAGACATTATTCTCCTGGCCCTCATCTCAGCAGAAGGCGGCCACCATCAAAAGAGAAGTCCAAACAAATGAGCCATTAGTACCAAGTGGTTGTTTCCAGCTGATTTATGGCCTCTTTTGTGCTGCAGTGCATTACTTCCTACAAGTCTTGAGGCCTGCTCCTAATTTCCATGGCAGGCTCGCTTTATTGTCTCTGTGTCAGAGCAGGGCAGAAAATAGCAACACATTCAGCAGAGCTACACAAATTACACCAAGAAAATGGATTTTGAATCTCCCCCTCCTTGCAGCTGGTGGAACGTTCAGTATCCTACAGACTCTCTGAAGGAATGCTTTTTTCAACTATAGAAACTGAAGCTAATACAGAAAACACTGCATCAGCCGATTTCATTTGCATCCTACCTCAGTGTTAAAAGAAATGTACCCATTTCTTTGTTTCCTACATCACTCCCGTCTTGCCAGAGGCAGAAGGGTTCTGTATTGGGGCTCTCTGAAGCAAACGCAAAACACAAGTAGTGAAGGCAGCCTGAAATCACTAAGCAGCAGGCCCCATCACACTCAATGATACAGATCCTCTCCTTTACACTAGACACAAGAATCGAATAGCCAAACATGCCAAGACACAAAAATAGGATAAACTAACATACCAGACCCTTCTTTACAAAATGGTACCAGGCAAACAAGCCCTCCTTTCATACAAAGATAGAATACTAACCAAACTTCAATCTTCATGGAGCTCCAGGGAGGTAGCAGGCTATGCAGCACTTATTTCAGCTTAGGCCTGCTTGGAAGCTCCTTTCTCTCTGGTTCAGGCCCTGTGATTTTTTAAGCTACCTTCACCTGACTTTACTGTAATTAACTTCACCTGGCTTGGGTGTCTCATGATCTAGGCCAGCAGGCAAGCACAGTAATTAACCTACAGCTGGGTTATCTCTGAGAATAGAAGCACTTCTGCCAGCGATCAAGTCAGCAGGAGTCAGCATTAGAATCACTGCTGCTTATGGGGATATTGAGGGTTAACAATTCCTCTTGCACATTTCCACAACAATCCCCAGAGCACTGAAACAACAGGATCAGTGACTCATGTTGGAAGTTTCCACTTCAGCTGCATATGTCACCGTGGTTTGACAACACTGACAGGGACTTATCTCATGATCTGGCTATTTTACTTGATTCTTCTGAACAGGCATGAAATATAGCCATGGGGTGGGGGGTGGGAGAGACCAGCCATTCTACTCTAACATATGACTCAGCCTTAGACAGTGGTGCACTGATTTCTAGTCCAAAGTCCTACCCAGAGTGCACCACTGACTCAAGGCCAACCTTCTCTAACCTGCTGCCCTCCAGGTGTTTTGCACTACAACTCTTGTCAGACCCAGCCAGGGATGAGGGTTGTGATCAATAACATCGGGAAGGCACTAGATTGGGAAAAGGTTCTCTAGAGCAGCATTTCCCAACCTTGGGCCTCCAGCTGTTTTTGAACTACAACTCCCATAATCCTCAGCTAGCAAGACCAGTGGTCAGGGATGATGGGAATTGTAGTTCGAAAACAGCTGGAGGCCCAAGGTTGGGAAACACTGCTCTAGAGGATTATAAAGTTATGTGGTAACTCTTCCTGCATATTTCATCTAATAAGCAGGTTTCAGTTTATGACCCTGATATCAAGGAGATACTCCTGGAACACATTTATCAGTCAATGAAAAATTATCTCATAATGAACACATGTTAACATTAACAATCTATCAGGCTTGCAATGGTCCTGTAACGATTCGGTTTAATTCCAAAGAAGTTGTTTTGCTTGGATCTTATACAGAACCACTAAAAGGCAATCATGCTTTTGATATCATTTTCTGCCCCCATGAGAGAAGTGTTTAGTGTGAGCATCACCAATTACTAATTTGGAAAGGGAGGGAAATTTGAATCCAAGTTCTGCAATGGAGAAAAATGCTGTATGAAGGAGCACTGAATTCAGTCCTTTGAGCTATGCAGCCAAATCTGACGATGCCACATTGTTTTAGGCTAGTTGGGGTGTTTCCATGTGGCTTTTATTGTTGATTCAATGCTACTCGTTCACACTATTCCCATCATCATTGAAAAGCCAACCCAAATCTCCCCATGTCATCCAGATACTGTTTCCACTGGTTTCAAAACAAGAACTTACCAGATTTCCAACAGAAAATGGTAATTCTGGATTAAATGGAAAATGGATTCTGATAAATGTGTCATGTGGACACTGTGCAAAACTTGCAATCCACAGTAAACAGCCCTTGGGATCTATGAGGACATAGATCTGGGCCACATGTGTACTGTTGACTCCATGGCTCACATGAAAGCTTCTCAGAAGCAGTAGGCTTAGCGCTGTTGGAAACAGAGCACTAGGCTGGATTTGTCCAGTGCAGCAGGACTGTTGTTTTACATTCAGTTAATACCCATGTTAAACTTTATATTGGGTTTTTTCCCTTTGAAGTCTATGGGTCACTAGTTGACCACCAGCCACTACAACAGCAGCTCAAGCAAGTAAATTCTGGTCTGGAACATTTGCATAGTTTCTGTGAAATAGTCCTGGAAAAGGAGCCATTTGCTATTCACGTGGTTGAAAAACCAAAGACAGGAGCCAGACTGGCTGTCAGCAAAGGAGAGGAAAACAAACACATTTCCACAGCTTTATCTATATGCATTTATGGGTGCTGAGCACAGAAGCAAAATAAACAATGCTGTCAGGGCCATTGACAATAAAAACAGAGGCACTATAATAAATGGTCTCACAAGTGATGGCTGTTCTCTCTAATGTGTTCTGTTGTAGGAGGGAGAGTGATCACTCCCGGTTCAGGCGCCAGGGAGCAAACCCAAACAAGCAAATTATGTGCATTGCATCCAACCAAGAGGAGAGTTCAGTCAAAGATAAATGGTTCTGGAGAGGGCTTTTAATGGGAAAAGCCCAGAGTTTCCTTGCAAGCTACATGTGAGCAATGAAAGCTGCCCATTCTTGTTGTTGGCACCTGTCTGTCTTGAAAGACAATGAAGTGCCTCTGTGGATGAAGCCAAACCACAGAATGACCTCTCCAAGGTGCAAACCTGGGCAGGGCATGTGGAGGTCCTGGGCTGCTCAGATGGAAAGACCCCACTCAGCCTCACTGAAGTGGTCCAAAGGAAAGCAGAGCAATACATCTAGCACCAGCTTGGATCCAGGAGTTGCTGGAAGGAGGCGTACAAGACACCATCCAACCATCTTAGGAACTCCACTCTGGATTTCTGCAGAGTTTACTCCTTAGCCTTTTTTTCTCCCAAAGATATCTCACAAGGCAGCAGAGGTTTAGGATCAGTGTTTTCCTTCTCCTAGATGGGCTACCTTCCCAGGTTGATGAGCCCCATCTGCCCCACATTTCCCTCTACAGCACCTGCAGAAACTGCCTTCTTTACCATTGGACCCACTATTCATCTTGCCTGCTCAATCCACCAGAGCCTGTCTTTGCATGCATGCATGACTTCCCCTGAATAAAAAGACAGGGTCCAGCAGGCTGAGCAGATGATTTAGTGTACCTAAAACAATTGGCGCAGAGGGTGAGATAAAGCAAGTCCAGCAGGAGATTTCATCAAACTTCTCAAAGCCATCCAAAAAGACGCCTATCACTCACCTGAGCTTCATCGGTGGTACCAAAGATGATGGAAACTGGCTTTGATGGGCAAAACAGCATAGAAGATGCAGCTGGTCAATGGTCTTGCACAGTCATATTCCTTCACAGTAAGACAGTACCCCCTGCCCCAGTCATTTCACATGCTAACAGTTTTTATTAAAAGCCATGAAATATTTTGGATGGATACATTTACCTTGGAAACTGTGTCATCTTGCTGGGTCCTAATGTGAGATTTTAATATTCTATGTTTATATTTAAACACAGTTATTTACACTGTTGCTCCATGACTATAGGATTCCATTTTTGTGGGGGTAGAACATGGATGCCCCATCCATCCATCCCTCCATCCATCCACACATACCCTTTGTATACAAAATATCTGATGAAGGCTTCTGACTTCAGAGGTAGGACATCCACGGTACTTGCAGGAGATCCCAGGTGCCATCTGCAGCTGATGTAGGGCTGGGAGGGCTCCCTGCCTGGCAGCCTGGAGAGCCACAGTCAGACAGGGTAGGCAATGCTGAGCTAGCTGGACCAATTGATCTGACTTGGTAATATGGCAGTTTCCTGTGTTCCTATCTAGGAGGCAAACATTTTAAGAAAGATAACTATCATAACCACCAAAGAAGCAAATTACAGGCCAATGAGGCACAACAGCATGACAAGCATTCATGGTAAGAACTTCTTTTAGAATGGTTTAAATTGTATTTGCTATTGGAATAGTTTTAACTGCAATTGTAACTGTTCTGAGATGTTTTTAATTGTCATTGTTTTAATCTGCCTTGGACTGTTTGCAGGAGGAAGGGCAGGATAGAAATTCAACAAATGGACAAACAAAACAAAGAAAGAAAGAAACAATGCATGTCTATTATTTTGCATTTTGGAGGTTGCAATGCTGATCTTCTAAGATCTCTGGCACATTTGGTTAAATAGATATGCCTCTGGTTCAGTTCTGTCCATACTGGCCTTAATTTGGTGCACAATATTCTTCTTTGCAAGGTGGGGGAGACCATGGAGGAGGGATGGGAGGAATTCCACATTTTAGGCGTTTGCTACAAACAGCAATAACAACAACTGATTGCAGGTATCACCCCGCTGACAACACATGCATTGCTGTTGTTAATTAGAAACCAAAAATAGAAAAAATTATCATAGCCTCCTTGTAAGGTACCCTGAGAGATGGTGGCGTGATTGGGGAAGAGGCATCATCTTCATAAAGTTATGATTTCCCAAGAAGCATGAATGCTGAACTTATTTTAAAAGTTAAATATGTTCCAAGAGAGTCTATAATCCAGTCACACTCCTGTAGGAATTGAAGAGTGGGAAGAGACACGTTAACAATCAAGCATTACTGTTACCGCCTTTTCATTTCTCTGGACTTTAGGACAAGTTTTTATTTTTAAAAATAATGTATTAAACTGCTTTGAAACATACAACCTTCTTCCTTCATGGAAAGCTGCAAGTTCACGTTGACGGGGGTGGGGGTGGGGTGTTCAGTGAATAAATCTACAACGTCAACCAGTGTTACATGGGAACGGTTTCCAACAATTTTCGCAGTCATGGTGGCTCCTGAAAGAACTGCCTTAACTCATGGTAATGACCGCAAAATGAACTCATATTCCATCAGCTAAAATGGAACGTCCTCCCGCGGAAAAAACCCACAAACATATGGAAGAGGCCCTAAGATCTACTTGGATGCTCCCCAAAACCAAACCCTTGGAATAGCAAGCAAGTGACCGCCAGATGGCAGCAAACTGAAAGTTTTAGCCAAGCACAGAAACGCAGGGTAGTTGCAGCTATCTCAAACGGACACAATGGAGAAAAAAATGTTTTCCCACGAAAATATGATATTGATCCTCTTCCCTCTCCAACTCCTAACCCTCTCCCAATTAACAGAACCGTTTAATGTTTTTCTGAATGCCTATTCAGAAATAATTCCCATTAAGTTCAGTGTGCATAGGAGAGGATTGGAGGGGTGGGTGGAACCTGATTCTTCTAACACCTCATTTCAGATATGCCCACTTGACTGCTTCGATCTGCAGAACTGGCCCTGCTACAGGTGCCATGTAATACTCCTTTTGCATTGGAAGAAATCTACCTTTTAGCGTGCAAGCTGCTACATTACTCCCTGCCAGAGACATCAAGAAGGTCTTTGCTGTACTCTTTTCAATGCCTACTTAAAATCTGCTTCTGCAAAACTTGAGATTCCTCAGAGCCTGTCAACATTATTTCCCTCTTTGCACATGTTTGTGTGTGTATGTGCGTGCGTGCAATTTGCCTACATCAGGAGTGGCACTCACAGCCTGAACATCAGAATCAAGCGTCACATTCTCAAATGAAAACAATGAGAGCCAAATGTCAGCAGAAATCACAAATTTATTAATTCTTAAATATATCAGTCAGTTCTTTACCATTATGGCAAGAAATATATATATATATATATACATGGTGTCGCATGGTAAACTGCAGTGTTTTGAAAATGACAAAGGGTTAGGTGTGTAATTCAGTTGGAGTGCAGAAAACTAATTCACATGATTCCCCCCCCCGCCCCGCCCCTCACATCTCAGTGTGGAAAACAAACCTGACCTAGAGTAATATGGCAACACCACATGCTATGGTAAAAAGTGTAAAAAAGAAAAAGAGAAAGAGAAAGAAAAGAAAAACATCCTACACCTAATTTTGTTAAATGTAAATACACTTATACCACCTAAAGCCGCTTCACAAAAGAAGAAATTGATTTAATTTTTTTAAAAAACAAAATGCACGAGGCCACTGTGCCTTTTCACAGATCCCGTTTGCGGGTTAATATGGCTCAAGACATTTACTGTAGATGCTTGTTATAAACATTTCCGTGGGTTTTATAAGAATCATCACCAGAGAAGCTTAAATTTCTCTAACATATATATGTATACTAGGAACAACATCAAGATGTAAGGAATAAGATCCACTTTTTGATTAGTAATCAATACAGAGAAATGAAAGTTATACAAATTAGGATCTCTTTTTTTGTCTGTTTTAAAAATTTCAAGCTGCTGCAAGTTGTAAATTTAACTTACTAAAAAAGAACATTGATCAAAGTATCATGCGCTATACACCATTACAGAAAACCGGTAGCCCCAATGTTAACCAAAGAGAGAAGAAACAAACAAAAGTATTTTTTTTTCAAAAGGGGAAAAAACCCCCTATTTTTATTGTTAACTTTTAAAGAAGAGGAGCAATACTTGCAGGAATATAATTTCACATCTACACAACAGAAGCAATCAAATGGCAACTGAGCAATCTGTTCTAAACAGACACTGAATTTATTTCCTGCTTACTTTGCATGTATATATGCAGCAACAGGGGGAAATAGTTAATAAAGCTGCAATAAGTATTTTATTCCACACTGTTCAAGGATGTTGATGAGCCATGAGAAAATAGATAAAATTATTATGGCAAAAGCGTAACAGTTTTATTAGAAAACAGATGTTTTCTTGGTAGTTTCCTTTTTGTCAGTTAATAAACTGTTACAAAGAAAATTAAGACAAGTAAGCTCCTGATACTAAGTTTTTAAGGCCTAATTGTCCTAGAGTATCTTGATTAGAGCATCAGTTTAAAAAACTCTCTACAACTTGCTTTAATAACTGTACTGTACATTAGTTTACCCTTTTAACCACCAAAACCCATCTCATATTAATGTGCTCACTGCTTGGCTCTGAACAAATGAAAAAAAAATACTTCAAAACATCTCCTCTTCCCTTGCACTTACAACTACAAAGCTAAATAAATTGTTAAAAATAAAATGAATTTGCTGACCAGATAAGAACAGTGACAGATACTTCTAGTGAGGTCAAGCCAGTAAATTACGCCATTTCCCCCCAGTTTACCTACAGTGACTCATAACAAAGATGGCTCCTTGAAAGAAAAGCCTACAGAAATGCTTTGGTCTAAACCCAGTATTTCTACCCATATGTCCTACAATAACAAAGGTGCTGTTAGTAGGAATTATTTCTACTATGACCAAAGCAATGCAGATTGTCTTTAAGAACAAACAAGCCAGATAACAGAAGTAGCGAAAATTAAAACAAAGTTAACTGATTTTTATTTTATTTTTAACCTTCATTCCCTTAGTTTGCACATGAAGATATTACTCATCTTCTGGCATGAGAAGTATACTCTGTATATTCTCTAGCATTTTACTTGCCCTCCCTCTTTTCTCCCGTGTCTTCTTTTCTTCCATTTTCAGTTTGCACGGAACATCCATTCCCTTCACTGAAGTGTAAACAAAAAGTACCAATGGAATATACAACAAAATGATGCATCGTAAGTGTATCACATGTAGAAACTTCACAGCTTCATGCACTCGAAGAACATGCATGAAGAGGGCAATGGAGTGGCCAAGATGGTAGCCAACCAAGTGCAGAGTGTGGAGGACAGAACGTGGCACCGCAGACATTTAGCTAGGAGGGGTGAGAGGAAAGATGGGAGGAAGAGAGAAAGAGAGAGAGAGAGAGAGAGAGAGAGAGAGAGAGAGAGAGAGACACTAACATTAATTGCTGAAATATTACTTTCGGGGCTAAATCATAATTTCCAAATGAACTAAAACATTAGGATTTTGTGTGCATTTGTGTGTATTTATATATGTACATACACAGAGAAATCAAATTACATACACCACTATTTTCATATTCAAACTACTGTGACATTTCAATGTTTAATAAAAAGTAGGTAAAGGTAAAGGACCCCTGACAGTTAAGTCCAATCATGAATGACTCTTAGGGTTGCAGCGCTCATCTCGCTTTACTGGCCAAGGGAGCCGACGTTTGTCTGCAGACAGTTTTTCCGGGTCATGTGGCCAGCATGACTAAGCCACTTCTGGCGAAACCACAGCAGCACACGGAAATGCCGTTGACCTTCCCGCTGGAGTGGTACCTATTTATCTACTTGCACTTTGATGTGCTTTTGAACTGCTAGGTTGGCAGGAGCAGGGACTGAGCAATGGGAGCTCACCCCATCGCGGGGATTCGAACCACTGACCTTCCAACTGGCAAGCCCTAGGCTCTGTGGTTTACACCACAGCGCCACCCACGTCCCATTATTAAAAGTACAAACAGGTGCAAATTATCCATGCATCCTTTTTTGTTTATCCCTTGTAGGGAATTGCTCAATAACATCCATCCTCATTCAAATAAATCAACATGATAATGATTTGATCAAGACAAAGATATAAGCAAAGCTTTGTTCATCATATGCTATTGTGAATTACAACTCAAGTTTCCACTATGCAATACAGGTGATGCCCCATTTATGCAGGGGTTCTGTTTCGGGCCCATGTGCGCATACACAAAATTTCAAAAAACTGTGAGCACCCTGGTGAGTCCTCCTAAACCATACCGGGCCGTCTCTTTGGCTTGTGGGAATGGGGAATTGCCTATACTGTATTTAAGGTGTGCCGAAAGCCTGAACACTCTAATGCTATCTTGGTCAATGCATCTTGTTGTTTCCAGACTGCAGATAATACACTGATCCTGAGCAAAAGTAATTAATTAGGAGTATTTCTAAACAACTTAATATTTAAAAATCTCTAAGCCATATACAAAGATAAGACCTAAAGACCCCAAAACAATAGAAAAGTGTAATAAAAACGCAGATAAAACATAAAACCCTGGTAAAATAATATTTGTTCTAAATAAATATTGAAAAAAACAGGCAAAAAGAAGAATTCAGTAACATGCTCCAATCTTATGGGGCTAGGGAAATCTGGTCTGAAGGGCTCAACAGTAATCATGTAGACAGAAGCTGTAGAGCAGATGGGAGCTGCAGCTTTTGATTCATTTTGTTGATTCAGTAAAGGGAGAATTTGTGGCCACTACCCAGCCAAAATTAAATAATATTAGAAACATGTATTTACAGCAGCTGAGTGGGCTTCATTCTGCACTTGAATTTGTGCGGATTCATCGCTGCAAATTCTAAGGAATCAGTTGCAATGGTTTCGAAAGCTGATTTGGTGCATACTGAGGTAGATAGGAAATGGAAGTAGCAGTCAGCAGCTTGCTTGGCCTGGACATATCAAATGCTCTATGCTCCCTTCAAGAGACACCTGGTTGATAGGAATGTGGGGCCTGGAAGACAAGTAACTGGGGCCAAAGAAAAGAGCACTTAAAACGGATGGACAGACGACAAACTGAAGATGAGAATGCTTTACTCACTTGATAGGTACTGTTGGTGATCCTGAACGGTGGAAGTGAACATTCTGCCATTTCCCATCACGGCGGTGCCAGACTCGCGTCTCTTCCGACTGCATTGTCTTGGGCATCCCACTCCCATCCATGTACTGAGTCAGCCGTATGTACGCAATGCAGGCAGCATCATCCCCCACGAGGTGGACATGTGGATTCAGGATGATGGTGTGGACTGGCTTGTTGCTCTTAGACAAAGCTACAGGGAGGAATGACACACGGTATAAAACTCATAATGCACAAATGGGATGCAGCCCTGAACAAAATGTGGGCATGCTTCTAAAAAATGTAGATCCTGAGCTCTAAATGGGAGTTGAAAATACACTGAATTGTGTGTGGCTTGTGTGTCCACAGAAGTTAATGTGTTACATTACGGCAGAATCCTGCTGAGGCAGAGATATTAATTAAAAGATGATGCAGAAATTTTTTTTTTTAAAAAAACCCACACCCTTGATCATACTAGTGATTGTCAACATCTTTTCCCTGATCACAGATGTGACAATGGAGAAAACTTAACATGTGAAGCAAAAACTCATGGAT